CAGTGTTTAAAAGTAGTAGTTTACTTATTATCGTCCGTCTCTTTGGGGTCAGAACCTATCGTCCTCGACAATAGACTAGCATGAATAACTATTTTTTTCGCGAAGCCAATTATGCCTATGCTTCTGTTTAACATTAATGGTGTCCGACGAAAAGCTTTATTTTTCCTGTTCCCGTTTGCCAAGCAACAAATCAAGTTGCGTTCTCGGTTAACTGGTGCCTAGCAATATCTCCAACAAACGGATCGCTCCCGCGCTCGACGAATGAGCTCTATTAATTTCCTAAAATCCGCGCGTCCAGGCCAATCTGTTACTATACGTTGCCGAAGGCCTCGTCTGCATAAAGATAATTGAATCCTGGGCTGTACAAATGCTACCTAGCTCGCGGTTTGTCAAGTTTTCCCGGAGGCGGGCAGTTGAGCCCATGTTTGCACTGTTTATAAGGTCGACTACTAAACGGGAGCCGTATGTTAGGAATGGGTCGTCATGGCAATCCCTCTAAACTATCGGTAGGAATGTTCGCTGTTTCCGATAATCTTGCAGAAATTTAGTCGTTACCATGGTGCACGCGTTAATGAACAAACCGGCATCATTTGCTGAAAAAATTAAAATTGTTCTGGGTTGTTGATGTGTTCAGTTGTGTCCTCCGAATCAGTTTATGAGGTAGGAATAAGTCGTGGGACTGCTCACTGGTACTATAAGTTGCTCTAATAGTGTTATTGGTCTACAGGCTTGCTTGCTTAAGCAATAGGAGTTGTTGTTATAGTTTCCTTGGTTTGTAGGCTTCCTTTGCTAACGCATTAGAAGTTTCTCCTGGCCTTTTTATTCTTTTCGAAAACCTTTCACCTCCACTTTTAGTTCAGTTTAACAATTACAAGCAGTTTTAATTTGTTTTCTGCCATGCAATTATCACGTATTCAACACACATTAGCCGACCATTAATCAAGTTTTAATCCATCAGACGTTTTGGACTGAGAGACTTTTGCCGTACGATTTATTTGTACCGTTTATTACAGGAAAGTGTCGCATGTCCAAATCAATCCTGCCAAAAGGCTTTCAGCCCGAAGTTTCTGTAGCTAACCTTTCCGCATTAAAGGCATTATCAGCTTAGAATTTGAATTCGTCCATTCCATACGTGAATACACCTTCGCGCGATCAGAGACTCGAATAACGCTAGCGGGTTAAGGGGCTGAACAGTGAAAGCTTTGCCGAAACCTTCGTGCGACTAACTGCACTCTGGGGTAAGGTGGTTTTATGAAAAGTGTTACAGCAATGCAGCTTTGTGGGGGAAAATAGAAGGAATCAACAGCTGTTTGTTTTTTTTTCAGGACAAGGCGGTCGGCCTAAAGGCTGAAGTGGAAAAGCTGAGGAAGCGACTGGAGGCGGAAGAGGAAGGTAAGCATTTTTTTTGTTGCATAATATGATCTCGCAACCTCTGGCTGCGCGGAGTTCGGCCGACTGGTATGCGGCTAGTGCCACTGTCTGCCCCCTCCCCCTCCCCAATATGAGAACGGGGGCACCAGCTCTATTTGAGGGGTCGTCACCCATTTGCGGCAATCAGATCACATTCAGAAGAAGAAGAAGCAGCGATCACTGGAACAAGAGGTTTGTTGTCCTGACGTCTCGGATTCCCTAATC